GTCCCCAGAGGAGAGTTCCTTGCCATGGTGTGCCATCTTGGGAGTTTCAGTGACCAGTATGACAGAGTGTGAGAGCTGTACTACAAATTGAACACACCTGCTCCCTATTCACACCTGAGACCTAGTAAGAGTAACGAGTCACATGGTATTTTGGAGGGAAAATGACAAGCAGTGCTTTGTTTGGACATTTAGGAGTGTAGTGTCTTTAGGGTGTACTCACTTTTGTTGCCAGGGGTTTAGCTATTAATGGCTATATTTTGAGTTTTTTTGAAGGGAAAAATAAATTTACACTGCTATATAAGCTTTACACAGACTACTTTTCATTGTGTCAAAGCGATGTTTCTTCAGTGTTGTTCTATTAAACATTATAATGAAATCTCTGCAGAAATGTGAGGGGTGTACTCACTTTTGTGACATACTGTAGGAACAGTATTTTAATATATTTTTATTTAAATGTAATAGTAATAGTAACAGTAGGTTTAGAAATTTGACATATTTATTTATGAAAGACAGCCAATTAATGACAGTCCTTAATTCCTTTTTCTTCGGAGGTTCTTTGTGAACATCTTTCTATGTACATTTTTAAGCATATAATTTAAATGTAACTAGAGTTTATTTGCAGAAAAAGGGTTTCAATTAAGAACTAAAATGATATCTGATTTGTTCAGACTGTCTCATCTACTTTGTTTTTTTTCTTTCTCCTCATCTTTCAGAGGAGGAATTTCACCTTAGCTTTCCAAGCTGCGGCGAGTGTGGGCATCAAATGCACTTTGGTGAGTTTTTGTCTCGATATGTAATGAATTGTAGTGAACTTGGAGTTAAAAACAATTGAGTTAACTGCGTTAGATTGTAGTTGGTAGTCATAGCTAAAAGAAGAGTCAAGGTCCTGGTCTGGGTCCTGGGAGGATTTCATTGGAGATTACAACACAGAGATTACAGGATTTGTACTAATGCTTAACATTTGCTTAACTTAAGAATATCCCTAATGTGTCTGTCGGGATAAAAAATACATTAGATTCTAGATTCATGTTCTTGACTTAGAATATTTTAATTAGAATTATTTAATTATGCTGATATTTTCACTGAGTGTTGTAATACAGTTACAGAACTGAATTAGACATAAGCGAAGTTGAGGAAGAGCCAGGGTTGAAAAGATGGTGTAAACACACAAGGGAACTCCCAAGATAAAGTTCTATTTATCTGTCTATCTGGAGTCGTAGTGGAGAACATGATTTCAGGGATGTGGTGTCAGAGGGTAGGAAGAAAAGACAAGGTGAGATTCAGTGATATATTTGTTTTTTCATACTGTGTCTCATCGCTCGTTCATAATGTACGGTGAATAAATCCCAAGCAGTGCAGCTGCTGATTCTGATGAGTGTCTGAAGTGAGTCTGCTGTGTTTATGCTGTTTAAATCTCTTCATAATTACTGAAGTGGAAAATGTGAAGATAGTGACGATGAATCCTATTTTCATAATTTCACTCATTTTCAGCTGCCTAATCCTTTGCAGTGAATGGGTGAGGGTGGGTGAGGTGTACCTAGGACAGGTTTCCTGTCCACACCAGGGCCAGATAAAGTTTTACCTACAGTCAATGTAGTGTGTCTGATCAATCTAAACCTAACCCTGATCTGCATGCTGTAGAACTATGGGTAAACCAAAGCACCATGAGAACCCCCCAACCTCACCTTCAGTAGGGGTGCACGATTCAGGGAATGCCACAATTTGATTCGATATCGATTTTTAGGCTCATGATTCAATTCAAAATCGATTTTTATTTAAAAATGTATTCAGTCTTCAGAGCATAAATAAATTTGATATATATCTGTGATTTAAGTTACTTTCCAATATTATTGCAGTTGACAGACAAGAAGAAAAAATGAACAAGAAGAATGAATTAATTGCAGGTAAACACTACATAATATCAACTTTGAGTAGAATTTATTTATTTCATTCAACTACACAGTCCATTAGGTAACTGGTAAACTGTCAAACTGTTCAAACAAAACTGAAAATGTTTGCCTTTATCTACAAATGGTGGGCCTGAGGTAATTGGTACTACAAAAAAATGCAACTATAAACTGCACAGTGCAAAGTAAAATATTTTGGTAAAATACGAGCTTTTACAACTAGTTTTAAAGTGCTGTACTCCAAAAACAAACGGCTCAGGTAAGTACATTAACAGCTAGACTCCCTTTTGAAATGAGCAACTGATGGGCACATTTAACACAGAAAATCATGACTCAAATATTCTCAATTCAGCGTTTAAGCATTTAAGATGTTTTAGAACCACAGAATACAGTCTTTCTTTCGCCATCTTTCTCTGCAGAAAGATGGCGGGATGGTAAGGCGTACCGTGGCTTGATTGTGTGCAGCATATGTTCAAAGCCTTCGTTTTCAGAAAGCAAAGCTTCAGAAATAAAATATGCTATGGCCTGAGTGATTTTCTTAGCTCGCTCAGAGTTCGGTGGGAGTTTAGTGCATTGAAACAAAGTTCGTTGGTTCGCAGGAAGGTTTACTGTTTTTAGTTTTTTGTCGTCTTTAATCTTAATCTATGGATGATGGCGTGACATACGAGCGCTCACATGTGTTGTATTTCTGAAACACTTTGTTTGTCAAATCCTGCATATAGACATACATACATTTTCCTTATTGAGGTCTGGCTTCCCATCCAGGCAATAAAATTCAAAATGCTCCCAAACAAGGCTGAATTGTTTTTTCTTTAACAGTCGCCATTCTCCATACACAGTTGACGTTCTCCGTTTCACTGATAAACTCCTTTAGACAAAGAGTTTTAGGTCAGAGCCGACTGCACTTTCGACGAGATGCATCAGAATTGCTTAGTGTAAAGTCGACGCAGCGCCATCGCAGAGTTTAATTCAATTTAGAACGAAGCAGTTACAAAATAGGGATAAAAAATATGACTCGATTTTTGGATCTTTATAAATCGATTTTGAATCGGCAAAGCTTAAATCCCGATTCAAATGTGAATCGATTTTTTTGCACACCCCTAACCTACACACACATACGCACACACACACTGGGGGAGGACAAGCAACCTCTTAGTGATGTGTCGTTCGCGAGTGATTCGTTCAAAATGAACGAATCTTTCATATGACTCGTGACTCCCGAGTCATATTAAATATTTGTTCATATTGAACTCACGAATCACTCACTGTGAACTAATCACACTCTGCGAACTAATCTTTCACTGTGAACTAATCTTTCACTACGAACAAATTACTCTCTGCAAACTAATCTTTCACTGTGAACTAATCTTTCACTACGATCTAATTACTCTGCAAACTAATCTTTCACTGTGAACTAATCTTTCACTACGATCTAATTACTCTGCAAACTAATCTTTCACTGTGAACTAATCTTTCACTGTGAACTAATCTTTCACTGTGAACTAATCTTTCACTGTGAACTAATCTTTCACTACGAACAAATTACTCTCTGCAAACTAATCTTTCACTGTGAACTAATCTTTCACTGTGAACTAATCTTTCACTACGATCTAATTACTCTGCAAACTAATCTTTCACTGTGAACTAATCTTTCACTGTGAACTAATCTTTCGCCGTGAACTAATCTTTCGCCGTGAACGGATCATTCGCTGTGAACTAATCACTATGAACGGATCATTCTCTGTGAACTAATATTTCGCTTCGTTCTCGCAGAGTCGTTTAATTTTTCACGTGAAAGAGCTCGGGTCTTTTTTGCTCTCATTCATCTTCACATTGTGGTGTGTTTTTATTTCTTAGCTTTTCGCATGGTTTTAATTACTTATGGCATTTTGTGTACTTTGTAGACTTTGTCAGCGGAAGCAAACCATGTTGCCTTCAGTATTTAGTGTCGGAGAACCTCAGCCTTCTTTACAACGCCCACAATAGGGCTAAAGCGCCACCTGCTGTAAAACGAATGAAATGATTAATTTAAGATTCGTTCACGAGTCGTTCATTTTACTGTTCGAGAGTCAAAGATTCGAATCAATAAAAAGAGTCGGTCCTCCCATCACTAGTATAGAGGTATAGAAAAGAAAATCATTCAAGCACAAAGTTTGGTGTTGTTCTCGGACGCAGATCGGAGGCAACATTCTAATAATGAAAGTGAATATCTGTTAAAGATCAGAGTTTCCTGTCTGCAGTCTTGGATCTAAATTTAAAATAACCGTTTTCCTGCTCTATCTCAGATTTTTCTTTCAAAGATGTTTGATTGGTATAAACCTGATCCTTTCCTTCTGAAACAGTGACTGTAGCTTAGATTCAGAATATAAACTGTCAAATATCTATGGTTTTATTTATGTTACATTTAGTGAAGGTCACAACTATGACTCATCAATTCATAATTTATTTGTCTTCCTAATATAAAACTCTATGGAACAACACTTGGTTTACAACTGTTTGCACTTGAATAGACAAAGACTAGGTAAATTACCCCAAGAAAAAATATCCTTCCATGGAAGCAGAACTTCACAATGAAGCAATGCCCACGAGGCCATTGATTCATTGACTCCTACATGATGATTGGCTACTGTTTTTTATTTGTTTGGAGTTATATTTGCCTTAGTCACAATGTAGAAAATAAAATCAGTTTAGAACTGGATTCAGACATGACCCAAAGTTAGCTTAGTATTAGTATTGGAAGTTTGTGTTAGCATTGGCTGAGGCTTAGGAAGTTAAAGTTAAAACTTAGGCTAATATCACAGGCTAAAGAAGTTAGCCACAGTATTACTTACTGTGTGCCCACAGTATTACTTACTGTGTGGCCAGTTAAAACAAGTTAGTAAAATAATTCAAATTAGTTGAAATAATTTCATCTTTGTTTGATATTCTTCATTATTATTATTGCTGTTATTATTCCAGGACATTAATGAGATGGTACACACAGAAAGACCAGACTGGCAGAGTGTCATGACCTATGTCACTGCCATCTACAAGTACTTTGAGACCTGACTGTCCACCGTCACATCCATGCTGTGCCAACAGAAGATCCTCCTCAGCCCTCGGCAATCCTTCAACACCACGGTGTCTCACTCAACTTCGCCACCATGCTGCAGAAACACTCTGCTGCACTGCATGCTGGTCCTTAGTATTTAGCAAACAAAGATAGACCAGAAGAGCTCCTCCACCCTCTGACTGCAGTATCACACTGTGTAGCATCACAGTCCTAATCAAAGGCTTGCGTGCGTATGTGTGTGGCTACTGTTACATTAAAAGGTCAGCAGAATTCACCTAAGTAACGACACGAAGGGGTGGAGACCTAGTTAGTGCCTTCTACCCGGGCTTTTGCATTAGCTGTTTTTCTATCACATTTCACTCGGTTTTTCATCAGTTAAAGGGAGATTCCAGCAGATCTGACAAAATCTCCTGTATTTTGTATAGTGTGAAGTGGGGGAAAAAAGCTCTTCTGTAGAATATGATGGAATGAGTTGGAATTTCCCCCATCAACCCTGACAATTTCTTTTAAATATGAATTAGCACAGGTCGTGACAGTGTGATGCAGTCTCAGTGAATGAAGTGCCTGTTTGGTCGTTGCCAAATACATTTCACAGTTTGTTTTTTTACTTCTGGCATCAGAAACCTCAAGGACAGAGCGACTCTAGAAACTTATCTCCAGTGACTGACCTGAGTTTCAAGCACCGACATTCTCTGTTACATATGCTACACACATTTCGTTTGTTTTCCAGAAGAAGTATTTATATTCATTTATTGCATATTTAATATTTTATTACCACTTTTAGACTTTTAAGTTTTCATGCTGAACCAAGATGACTACAGTATATTTATTATTTGTATGTTTATTTTTTTGTCATTGTAATGAGGTCACTGCTTTACTTCTTTATGTGAATGTCTGTGTGTTTGGAGTGAATATAAATGTATTATTTACAGTGATGGTGACAAGAAGTAGCTGCACTGACATAAGCTTTTTTTCCTTTGTATTCCTCACTAACGCTAACTTAAATGTGTGTTCGAACTAGTCTGGGTGAAAAGGTGACTCTGGACCTTTAACAGTTCTTTCTGGTGAAACTGACATGTCCTTGGACTGTGCTGATTTTTCTGCTCCAGGCAAAAGTGACTGTGAAAGACTTTTCTAAAATAAGGTCCTCTTTTTTGTTTTCCCATGCCTCTGGAGGAACTCTTAAACGATAGTGAACCATTTTGTGATGTGGCTTGAACTTCCTCATGTGCCTGGTGGAGACGACTGCAGGATGTTTGGATCTGGAACAGATGGCGATGTGAAGAGCAACATCAAGAATTTCTGTTTTTTTATTACATGCTAAGCCACAACATCCACAGTGTCTCCAACTGCATTAACGTCTGGTAATTTAGCACAAGAAGCTGCAGCAGTGACACTGTGTGTGGAACAAAGACACAGACGGAGACAGTGAGTTTTTTAATGTCCTTTAAAAGCCTCACCTCTCCGTGGACCAATTCTGTGAGGATCGTCGACCAACGCTGCTGGCCTCCTCCATGTTTTATGACAGAAACATCTGAAATCTTTTCTGATCACACTTAAGTGTTGCTGAAACTTTCCATGTCCGTGTTGCATCGATGTGGTCCAATTGATGAACGCGAGCCACGGCCTGCTGAGAGGAAACCAGGCTGAGGGCTCTGAAGAACATTCCACTACCACGTGATGCACAGGCCTGACATCATATGGGATCTGAGAGTGTGTGTGGCTTCACCGTGAAATGAATGTGAACATGTCCGTAATAGTTTTGCTGGCTACACATCATAGAACGCTACATTAACTTCTCCTTAGATTACTAGTTTACAGTGCTCTGAGAATTTTACTGAACCTGCTTTAGTGTCTTTTTGTTTGCCTTGTTTATTTTTTTAAAGGTCCACACTACAGAAAAGTCCTGATCACTAATGGAAGGGCTAAATGGTCCCATGGCAGAGTCGATGCCATGCGTGTGTGGGAGAGCGTGTTAACAGGACTATGCTACAGTACTAAGTGCACACTATGATGACAATCAGTTGTTTAAAATAAAGCTTGTCTGGTTTTGTGTTGCTTTAATTTTCATTTTTGATAGAAATAGTAATAAAGGACAGTTTGAAACGTGTGTGAAGGTTTACTGGCTAAGAATCAGTGTGTGTGTAAAGGTGAGTTGCTCACCAATCGCTTTCCCAAACTTCAGAAAATGACAATGACTTAATGTATTAAACTACACAAAGAAGAGATTTTAAAAAAAATGATGTACAGTAAAAAACTTTTACAAATAAAGGGTTAAGTGATTTATTTTATATTTTATCAGAATGTCAACGTATTCAATTCTAGGAGCTAAGGAACCATATTTGTAATGCAGCTTTAATTTACATTTCATCAAGTGTGCATTAAAGGCGGTGGTGGCCTGGTGGTTAAGATTCAAATCCACCTGGAGCATGACACTGTCCTCACTCACCGGGCGCTCACTTGTGCTGCAGCCTGCTCACACAAACAGCAGGAGAAAGAGAAATGTGAAAGGAAAAAAACACAAAAGAAAGTAGATGACGAAAGGGAAAAACTGCAGTTCAACTGTTATAAGTCTGTCACATGACCAGACACAGTTCAAAGAGATGAAGAGCCCTCTGCAGAAGACCGAGCTGGATGTTGGCAACTGTTCTGGACAAAACAATGACTGAAAATTTATGGACTAATTACAAGACCATCTAGTCTGTGACAACATATAAACTCCACACAGAGAGATAATCTATTAGAAAGAGGAATTGAACTCACGACCTCCTTACTGTAAGGCAAGAGCAGGTAAATGAAGTAGTTGAAGTAAATCTCCCATCTCTAGTCTGTCTGTCTCTCCACACAAATATTTAAATAGACAGTTTGTTTCAATGATGTGTATGGTGGACACATCACTAATGTGCACACACGTACACACACAGCCCTGCCTCCTACAGAGGAAACTGACTCTTGATATAGAACATGAGGGAGGGGTGTGTGTGTGTATGAAATAGAGGAAAAGCATTAAGCTTATTCACAGAAGAAGTTGTAGTGAAAGCTGAGGACACAGATATTGAGCTGTTCTGGTCTTCTTTCATCATCATCATTATCTTCATCCTCATCACTGCAGCAGCAGGTTTCACTGAGCTGAAGGAATTTCACATTATGTCTCACAGCAGGAAATACTTTTTTTTTAACATTTCTCAGGCATTTTTTTCATCATTTTATTTTATTGGCTTTTCTATTGTCTCCATTCAAATATGTGGGAAAGCAACAAGTGAAGAAGTGCAGGTGAGACTGTGAATTTATTTCTTCATATAAAACCAAAAACCAAAACAAACAAATTCGATTTTACGTGCTACCTTACATTGACTGAAACATTTATAGTCTATACATTGACTTTATTGAATTGTCATTGGTGTGCAACCCCAGGGTTCACCTCCTGGGCAAGATTGAATCCCGGTTAGGGCGGTTGGTACCTTCCAGTGGACTCACCACCTGCAGGAAGGTTCAGGGGGGTTGGTACGGTGCAGTGTGATTTGGGTGGCGGTGATAGAGACTGCTGCCCCGCGACCCGGTAATAGATAAGCGGGTGAAAATGGATGGATGGATGGATGGAGGTTTCTTTGAAAATAGGTTCACATTTGTAGGAAATGACATAACCCAGCTCTTCAATTTATATATGAATCAAAACATTTAAAATTTGTCACAGACACAAAATGGGCTTTTTTGCCAGATAACTGTTCTCTCATAGAAAATCAGCCAACAATGTGTTCAACAATATTTTCATGTCATATCAGGACATCTGTAGGAGGTTAGAGAAACAAAAACACTTTCTTAATGAGACAACAGAGAGAAAATGCTAACATTGCAAATGTACACACAAACTGGTCTGAAGATAAATAAACACAGGACTTAAAGAAAATGCAAATCCAAATTTAAGGAAGTCAGTGGAAACTCAGTAATGGTTTGGGGTTGTATTTCAGCAAGTGGTGTTGGGGACATGGCCTAAGTTCACTGTGCTGTCTGAAAAAACAATGATTGGGATTGTACTCAAGGTTAAATATAATATAAGCACATACAAATGAAAAAAGAAATATACCTGTTGTGATATTTATTTGTACGTAGCATGAATTGTTGTTTTTGCAATTGTAATTATTTCTTGCAGACGTCACCTAAAAAATATATCATGCTCTGTCTGAAGACCAAAAATATCTAAAGAATTTTAATGTTTAATTGCAGTTATAAATCAAAGCAAAATGAATGTTTTCCTGGCTGGTGTTAAACCTTTGTTTCCTAATCAGAAGCATTTTCATCTTTAATCTCATGTTTATTCAGCAAATATTTACCGTGGAGATGAGCAGTCGTGAGTCTTAAACTTAAGAAGCTTTAGATCAAAGTAGAAAATAATCAGTCTTTTATTTTTATTTTTGCTATTTTATTTTATTATTTAGTAATCTGGAAGCTGCTCCTGGTTCAACTATTAAGTTGAAAATTTTAAGCCAACATTTTAACATTTTGAACTACTTGTCAGTTGTAAATGAATGATGATCCCATTTAGAGGAACATTGACATTAAATCACAGCAGGCGATGCAGCGTATGATAAAAGTCAGTCAACTTTGTCAAATATGCTGTAATGGCGGGTTATGCCAAAGGTGGCGCACTGTAGAAAAAGTGGTGATACCTAAAAAGTAGTGATGGTGAAATGAAGCCCCATGAGGCACTGAACCACTTCAGCCAATTGGTTCAGTAAAGGGTTCATTACTCGAAGCTTCATGTGTGCACGAAACCACCTACTGGCCAGATGTGTTATCACAACCAGCTGTCTAAGAATAACAATGTGTGATGAATCTTTGTGTCTGTTTGGTCTGTTGGGAATGACTACTAATTTAAAAAAATACGTCAATAAAT